TCGGCTCACCATGTCTGAGGCAGACCCTTGGCCTTTTTCCTGAACCCAGCTCTCTCTCTCTCTAGCAAAAAACCCAAATCAAATCTCAACCCAAACTTCGAAACCCACAAGCCAATTTCCCTCTTTTTTTTACCAATCAATGGCAAAGATCAGAGGATTCAAGCTCGGAAAGCGCCTTTGCCGGGTCACCCGGTGGTTCTTATTCCGTAATACCCGAACCCGAAATGGATACTCCATGCTCAACCCGGATTCTCCCCTGACTTGCAGCAACAAACCCACGTCCAAGCTGCTCACTTGGGGCCGGAAGTTGTCCGCCGGAGCCAAATCTCTGTGCTGCCGCAAACCTGGGTCGGGCTACAAACAGTTGGGTCAGAACCCGGTTGAGTCAAGCAAGCCTGTGACGGTTCCAAAGGGACACCTGGCTGTGTACGTGGGTCAAAAAGACGGCGACTTTCACCGAGTTTTGGTGCCTGTCATTTACTTTAACCATCCCCTCTTCAGCCGGCTTCTGAGAGAGGCCGAAAAAGAGTACGGGTTTCAGCACGAGGGAGGGATCACCATACCCTGCCCGATCTCGGACTTCGAGAGCGTCAAGACCCGGATCGCCGCCGGGTCGACTCAGCGCAGGCTAACGTGGAAGCGCAGCGCCTCCCATTAAGACGCGACAATGAAGGACGATGATGATGATGATGACGATAATATTCCAAATTGATAGTGATGTCGTTAGAAATCTTTGTGGAGTTTAGTGGTCTCACTTCGTTTTTACTTTTTTACCCTTTTTAAATTTTTGGAATTTTCTTTTTGTACTTTTTGGTACATGTGTGGTAGCTTTTTAGATGTATATTTATACAAAGAATATGATGAATTTTTTCTCTTTTAATTCTTGCAAATGGGGATTTAATGTGGTTGATAATGATCATGAGGTGATAATGACAGTGATTATTTCTTGGGTTTTGATGTGAATGCATCAAATGGTGATAAAAATGATAATGATGTCAAGACTTTGACTACTTCAATATATTGTTGTGGGGAGCTTCTTTTTTGTTTCTTTTGTTGGTGTTGTTGTTGTTATTATTGGTTCTTAATTGGAAACGTAAGAAAGTTGGGGGAAATGTCTTGTTGATGGGCAATTGATGACGTTGACTTGGTATTAATGCTCGAATTTTTTTATTAAACGGTCGATTGTTTTTAACAGGTACTTATCCAAAGAACGCTTTTTATAAGATTTTCAATAATAATAACCACAAACAAGTGGTTAAGCTAAAGCTAATATAACTAATGTTTGAAGATTAGTTGTGAGATTTTCTGCTTAGGGAATTGTCCAATTTTCTCAATCCACTTCCATATATCACAGGTTTTGCTTAATGAATTAATTATTAATGTCCAATTTGATTGGAAAATGTTAGAGAATCCAATTTCCCCTAAAAAGGTTTTTGGTCGGTCTCAGCACCAAGTTTTCTAGAAGAAAAAATTATCTTTGTTTGACACCATAGACGTGTCCTACTCAAGCATGGTACTAGTGGCATAGTGGGGAATCTGATGAAATTAGAATCAATTGATGGAGGCAGTTTCCCACCTCCCGCAGCTCCACCACCATACATTGGTCTTTTTATTCCATTTTGCTATATGGCCAGTACATTTGTACTTTATTTTTATTATTGTGGATTTAGTATATGCCACACAGAAGCTCAAAAAGGTCTATGAAGCACTTGAATGCAGGCAAGGCACCTTCAAGGTTCCAGTCCATGTTGCTCTGTATCCCATTTTGTTGTAGTTGAGAAAGATCATGAATATGTATCGGATTTGCTGGACGAATGGCATGGTGAATTGTCTTTGTGGGACTCGAACTTGATGAGGCGCACTCACTGTTCTGGTCAATTGGTATGTGTGGATTTTATAACTCAATAGAATGACATTTATAATATAAATTTTGTAATGAAAAAAGGGGTTTAATGGGTTAGAATAAGTTATTGAGATTTCAATCGTTTGATCAACCTGATGGTTGTGATAAGTTATCGCTCACAATTACTTAAAAAGAGGTCCTTGGTTCGGGTAGTAGTAATTATTAAGTAAAATTATGGTGGTTTCTTTTATAAAAGTATACCATAATATTTGTTGTCATCTTAAGTTGTACTCTAAAACAAGTCAAATTTATTTATGGATTATTAATTTTACCAACATCTGACTAGTATCTTTGTAGGCTTCGGTGCTATGTAACCGATAAACGCTCAAAACAAATGTATTGACTTATTTATAACGGGAACTTTTTCTAGGATCATTTTAACCACTTGAGAAACCATTATCTGTCAAATGACCCTAAATTTATATGGCCTAGATGGGATTTAACAATAGCTCCCCAACAAAGTCGTGGCATAATTGATAAGGAAATTACCACAACCTAAAATATCAAACTAACCCAAAAAAACCAAAAACGGTTATGTTAGTTGAAGGAAAGGCTTTTGATCATACTAAACGTGAGGGAGAGACAAAGACAAAGACACAGACAGACAGAAAATAAGAAATTGATGAACCATGGGTTCATTGCAAAGATCATCTATGTCATTTAGGAGGCAAGGCTCCTCCGGCCGCATTTGGGAGGATAGGGTTCCAGTATTCGATCAAAAGCCGACTTCCTTCTCCGGTCCCATTTGCCCTACCTTCTCTGGTCCAATTCGCCCTCCCTTCTCTGGTGTCAAAAGTTTCGAACACCATCCAAATTTTGAAGAAAAATTTCAGGAACGAGAGTTTGTTGATTTGAATTACGCACGAGGTTCACCTTCGCCTTCTAAGCAAGAAAATAAGGTGGCTCAAAGGTGTTTTCTTTCTTCTTTCTTTGGGCGATGCATGGGTTCTCCTACTGCTGCCTAGCTTGTTAGGATTTTTTATTTTATACGTATTGTCATGTTCATCACTAAATTATACATAATTTCTATATCCTACTCAAATTTTTATTTCTGTTATATTCGTTGGATTTGTGATCATATTTATAAATGTTATTTTATCACAAAATTTTCAAATCCATTTATTTGTACAAGACTCATCGACATCCTATGCGTAACAATTTACAGAACAAATTCATCATCTTACTGGAAATGAATGATCACATTCACGTTCAAAATTCAAAAGATAGCATGCTTAATTTTCTTTGCACAGTGAATTCATTAATTTTTTTTCCCAGTCCATGATCAAAGCTCAGAGTTTCGTCATCATACGAATTTGTTCTTTCGGTGGTTTTTCCTTTTCTCCAGCCAACATATTTATATTTTCTTTTCTCAATTGAATTGAAGTAAGAATGGGAAAGGACGAAATCGACAGATTAAGAACAAACTAGGAAAGAAACAAATATGGGACACTTTAGATGTAAATGCATACCGAACTAAATGGAGAACACATCCATTCGCAATTATTGTTTGTTATAAATTTAAAAAAAAAAACTAATTATAAGGAATTGCGCAACAAGCAATCAAAACAATAACATGAAAAGTTTGGAACATTTGAATGGCGTATTCTCCACAACGATTTACAAATCTAATCCATCATATTATTGAAAATTGCAAATATTTTGAGATAAATCATTTACAAATTTTTCTCTTATATTTCCTTACCAATAAATCAACTGTTTGTGATGGAAAATACTACATGCTGGTGGAAATTTAGAAGCGATCAAATGCTATAGGTGTATTAGTCCTTGGGATACCCGATGGTGCGGCTCCCGACTACTAAAGCAGGTCAGCTTGGGAATATCCGCCTTCTCTCGGAGTCACTCGAGCCTCTCACTTAAACAATAATTCCCCTCGACTTCCACTCAATCGAATCAAAGATGACATGGGGTTGAATTATTATCACTCTGTTATAAACATGCATATGACAATAAAAGTGATCTAATTCATACAGACATAGGCAAGAAAACACGAGACAAGGAAGATAAAAGAAGATTTGTTATTTATTGAAATGAATCGCATTACTTGCCACTAAAATGAATACCGGTATTTATACCAGACTAATTATATTGACCAAAACAAACATAAGATTCTACACAGAGAAACAATACAAAATTTTAAGACCGGATTAATTTAATACCATCCACTACCACCAAGACCATCATTAAGCAAATCATGATTAGTTTACCCCAATATCCCAAAAATAAAATCAAGGAAATGATGAAATAAAATTGTAAAACATAACAAACTTATATATGTTAATGGAGACTAGCAACCATTTAAATTGTAAAACCTGGAAAGATTGGATGACTTCTTTAACATGTAATTCAAATGAGAGATGTTACCTTCAACAAAAAAATGGACAGGGAGTGGGTAAAACATGAATCATGAGTTAACATCATCTCAATCTCATGAGTTGAAATGTAAAACATGTTAATTCTAAATTGCAGACTAGTGATTTTCTCTTCCTTTTCCAGTGAATCATTAATTAATATTTTATTCAATTAATAATAGATAAAAGCTCAAATGTTTATAACAATTAAAGATTGGCGCTTTCAATTCTTTTAGCTATGAATATTTTCTTTTCTGAATGGAATTGAAGTAGGAATTGGGGCGAACCAAGAAATCAACAAAGAAGAAACCAGCCCATGTATAAGAGGAGCCCAATTTGGAATTGCACTACAGAACCAGTCCAATTAGCCCAATTTTATGCAAGCAAATCAACTTAAAATTTCAAAATTCCACCCAACCGTTCAAACTATACGTTATTTGATCGAACGGTAGGTGTGCCTCGTTTTTACTTCATTGTTTAGGTTGCATTTGATTTGATATTTAATAGCGGCCGTCCATTTAATAAAGCCCATTAAAATTTAAACACAAATTAGAGCCGTTGGATTTAGAAGCATAGAAAGATAGCTAAGCATCTAAATTTTGCCGGGACGCATGTAGACATCGACATGGTTGTGGTCACGTTGGAGAAACCAAAATCATCCACACAAAATAATTGGTATACGGTTTGATGAAGTTGGGTAATTTTTCAAAGCTATGCAACATTTTGAGTGGCCAAATTCAACCCGGTACCTTGCCAAGTTGCCAAACCAATTTTATTTAATTTTGTATCAAGGGGAAAAATTCAAGTTCATGAATGAAAGAGAATTAAGGGCTTTAGTTAACTACCTCCAAATCCGACACAAACTCAACTGGATAACCATGATAGAATACACTTAAACTGTAGTAAAGATCAAAATCAAGCAATTATAGCAAAATAGAACGGAAATAAAATTCGATGGATTGAAATACGCAGTAAAAATACGTCGTCTATCATGCCATGGAAATAACATCCATCATTTGGCTTTGGCGGCCTCCACTTCTTCCCTGACCTTATGGAAAGTGGAAAGCATCAAAGAACGCATGTTGGCAATCTCTACAAGGGCGTCAAGTGCAGATTCAAATGAGAGTTGTGCTGCCCGTAGCTTTGGCGAAACCAAACCGCCAAACACCAACAGTGACTTAGACCGCTCCTTTTGAAGTTGATGTTGGTGATCAGCTTCAGCTTTAACTGGAGGTGGAGCTCCATCCTTATCCTTTCGTTGTCGTATCTGTGGACTCATATCCATAAGTGGAGCTCCATTGTCATTGTCAAAGGATGCCCATTTGTGCAATGTAAAATGATGAATTTGCCCAACTCCTGGATTGGATTGCTGGGTTACTTCCAAAAATGTGCTTGCAGGGTGGGATTTCAGGTCCAACACAGCGCTGCTTACACGTGACTCACCCATTGAATGTCGAGCACTTGCTAATTGCAGCCACCCCTGTTTTTAGTGTTATCCTATTCCCTGTTAGTGTAAGAATATAACCAAAAGAAATATGTAATCCAATTTTACCTGTCGGAGTGTCCAAGACAGTGAATCCAATAGGGTTAAATACCCGTCTATTGAATCCAGGAACTGCAACGAATTTTCATTGAATCCAGGGAATGCAATACCATCTCGACCTTCTAAGCTCAGTGATTGAAGGTCTTCTTTCAAGCTCCGTGATTTAGCGTCTTCTTCTTCCAAGCTCTGTGATTTAGGCTCTTCTTTCAAGCTCTGTGATTTAGCGTCTTCTTCTTCCAAGCTCTGTGATTTAGGCTCTTCTTTCAAACACTGTGATTTAGGCTCTTCTTTAAAGCTCTGTGGTTCATTGTCTTCTTCTTTCAAGCTCTGTGATTTAGGCTCTTCTTCTTCCATTGAGAATTTGATATTCAACAGCACAACCCCTTACTTTACTACTCATAAGCCATCACTGTCGTTGGGCTTTCTGCATGTTCAGGTCATTTTTGTCAGTGGCATTACTAAATTCAACTCATCACTGATTTAATTCGTAAGAAATGCAAAAAGAAAGCAAACAGGATATGGATAAACCGTAACAAGGGTTAAATTCTTCCACATAGAAGAAGACTGGTCCGAGCTAAAATAATGCATTTACACGGGGTCAATCTACATTCTTCTCCTTTCTTCTTTCAACTACAGTCAGAACATACCAGTGCATATTCTTAGAAGAAAGATGAGCACGTGAGAAGGAAGAAAACGAAACGCTATTTAAAGCCACTGTCATTTACATCAAAAGCTTGATCACAAGCAACGACACTTAAAACCATCATCTTTACCCCTAAATTAGAAATCAGAAATTGACACCAAACAAAAAAATAATAATAATAAGCAATCTCAAATACCAACCAAGAAGAATCATAGAACACAAAAATCTAAGGGGAAAAAAATCATAAATTTATAGACAAACCAGACTATTCTCGAAAACTGAAGCGTTCCTTCAGATGTTCTATAGGCAGCACTGACCATGTATCGTTAAGAGAATTACATTAGAAATCTTATAGTGAACAAACTAATAGAGACAAATAATGGAAATCCTCAGATGACAAAACTACTGTTTAAGTCTGTGTGCTACCCAAAGTTGATAAATTGTTGGAATATGGCATACCAAATCAACAAGTTCAAGCAGATAAAAACATAACAATATCCTACATAAAATGAACATAGAAGCAAATGAACAAACACATCCACGGTATACCCAACACATACATCCAAGTAACAAATGATATTTTCGTCAATTTATCTAACACATGAAAGAAATGCCATTACCCAATAAATAAAACCAACATCATCTCAAGAGACATTGAAAAAAAAAATTACAAATTTGTGAATGTTCTAAGAAAAGAAGACACCTTCAGAAAACTGTGTAGACATGGAAGCCATCCCCAATCTCAGGTGACCACGCATGCCCCACGAATAACAAAAGAAATGCCTAAATCTGATCCAAATGATATAATCACAAACAGTAAATTGAATTCAGATATTTATTCCACAAAATTTAAAAAGAAATTCACGGACTGACCTGAGGAGTGGTGGCGCCACAGGAAAGATGCGAGAGGAAGTGCTGGGCGACGAGAGTAGGGAGAAAAAGATCTCGTCTTTCAGAGGCAGGGATGGTGTGGGAGAGAATGGGGACTGGATGTAGTTGCAAAATGAGGAGCAGTACAAGGGTATTTTTGAGAGTCAGATTTTTCTAAGCCAATGGATTTTGACAATTATGTCTGTAATAAATCTGGGGAGATTATCTAATAAATCTATATATATAAAGCAAATGACAAAGAATGTGAAACATTCAAAATGCCACAAAATGCCCTTGGTTAATTCAAATATTAAGAATTAAAATTATTAATTAAATAAGAATAATATGGTAAATTCACATTTTTTTTATATTAAAAAAAATTAAAATTAAAAACAAAATCAGATAATATATTATACTTTTATGGAACATAACTACCTATTTTATATTTTCTTTATTCTAAAAATAAAATAAAAAAGAAAAATGAAAACCAATTGGCACATGGGGCTAGTATTTAATTATGTTCGTATTTAATTTAAGAATTCGGAAGAGTGTGTGCCCCCTCCCCCTTATCGATGTAACTATAAAAAAAAATTTGCTACATACTTCTAATTTCAGTTGTTGGATTGCATCTAAGAGCATGATGATTTTTTTTGAAATACTAATAATTACGAAGTTTATATTTTTTTTAATAATAAGACAATCATTTTATTTGTTAAGAATGTGAGTTACAATATTGTTTAATAATAAATACTAACTTTTTTTTTATATGTATTTTATAATAAGGCAATCATTTTATACAAAGTATCCTTATACATCACTGTTTATATGTATTTTACAATATTGTATACTTGGTCATGGGTGCCTAGGAGTGCAAATCGTGCGGCTCATGCGGCGGCGTCGATAGGTAACAGAGCTCTGGAACTGCAAAGTTGGGTCGACAAACCACCATTGTCTCTCATTGGGGTGTTAACTTCTGATGGTTTGCCTTGTCCATCTCATGTTGCATCTGTTGTTTAGTTTTAATTCCTATTAGTAGCTAGTTTGCTGGGTAGGGACTGTTGTTCTAGGCTCTGTTGGAATCTAGCTATATCTGACCATGTTTTTGTTATTTGTTCTTGTGTTCTGTTGGCTCCTCGTGGCTTTAGCCTTCTGTTTGTATCTCTATTCCCTGTTTTTGGGTTTTATGAATACAACATGAATTTCAGACCCAAAAAAAATAAATAAGTCTAATTTACGAACAAGTCTCATTTATAAGGAAACATTACTACAGTTGAAGTAGTTGCCTTACATAAGGAGATCAAATACCCACACATTGCTTGCTTTTATGAATACCCTATTGAAAACCTAGAGATGGTATTTCTATTGAGATTGTAAAGCAGCTTAAAGAATTTAATAGTCTGAATTTTCCCTATTACATCGCTTGGCATGAGAAAGACTTTGCTATTACGACACTTGAAAGCTTAACATTAAATCACCAAATAAGACAGTAAATAATCATCAATACTTAAATCCATTTGGTGCAAAGAAGGATAATGTTCGTGACTCATGTTCTCCTAAAACGAGTTAACACATCTGTAATGGAGTTACAATTAATTGATTAGGGAAGGTGATCTATCTAAATGTATTTAAAAAATATAAACTTAGTTTACTCCAATACCCCAAATCAAAAAAGTATAGTAAAATAAAACCATAGAATATGATGCCATAATTAACATGTTGGTGCAAAACAACGGGGATTGGATTTTGTAGCCAAGGTTCATACTTTTTCTTGTCACTTATTCGTCATGTAATTCACATGAAATGTACTTTTTAATAATTAAAAAAAGGAGAATAAATTTGCTCAACACCATAATCATAAAAATCATACAATCCAACTAGACATAATGCATAAAGGAAATGCAGCTGCAATGTTACAAGTCATTTTATATAAGGCCATCTCAAGGTCAAGTCCACTAATAAAGAAGCAGTCTGCTTTGCTTGCTCATCTTTATGGAGTCACTCTGTAGTGAGGGTTTTATCTAAGTAGCTATCTCGTAACCGTTGAATCAAACTACCAATTTAATCTAACGGTTAAAAAATGGGGCATCTTCCTATAGAATTCAACCATCTTTATGATTATTAATTATCTTTATGACTATCTATTGGGGTCAAAAGTAGAATTTTTGAGCAGATGCTTTAACTAAGAACACACACAGGTAGGCCATGAACAACACATAGAGGCCCTTTCTTAATAGGAACGTGTCCACTTGAGAATTCAAGAACGACCAAAAAGCAATCAATCTCTCTCCTTTCTCACCCTACCATCACCAAACCACAATACAAAGGAAAGTGATGCCGAGTTGAAAAAACAAGAAGAAAAAAAGAAATGGTCATGAGCAACCTTCAGCTAGACTACTCTACTCAGAAAACAATCTTAGCCCTGAGAATCATAATCTCTTCTCTGCTTTTCGTTCTCTTTTCTTCACTTAGCATTCATGGCTACCCAATCCAAGCCCATATCTTCATCTATGCAGGCTGCTCTCAAGAAAAGTACCAACCAAGCTCACCCTTTGAAGCCAACCTCAACTCTTTTCTAACATCAGTTGTTAGCTCATCCTCTCAAGTCTCTTACAACAATTTTGGAGTTGGAAATGGAAGCTCAACAACACTAGAAGGCACAATATATGGCTTATACCAGTGCAGAGGTGACTTAAAGATTTTCGACTGCGCAAAATGCATAGAGAGTGCAGTAAATCAAATTACTCTGGTTTGTCCCTACTCTTATGGGGCTTCTTTGCAGCTTGAGGGTTGTCTCATAAGATATGAGCATGTTAATTTCTTGGGGAGGCTTGACACAAGTCTTAGGTACAGAAAATGCAGTAAAAGTAGTGTGAGTGATGATGTTGAATTCTTTAGGCGCAGAGATGATGTGCTTGCTGAATTGCAAGGAACAAATGGCTTTAGGGTTAGTAGCTCTGGTTTGGTTGAAGGTTTTGCTCAGTGTTTGGGGGATATGAGCCAAAATGATTGCTCTTCTTGCATTGCTGATGCTGTGGGAAAGTTGAAGAGTTTGTGTGGATCGGCAGCAGCTGTTGATGTGTTCTTGGCTCAGTGTTATGCTCGGTATTGGGCATCTGGCTACTATGATATCTCAGGTGAAAATTTCTACTCATTTCCCTGCATATAATCCTAACATCTTAAAAGAAACACCACAACACAAAACATAGATTTTTACTCTGCTTTTGCATTAATTAACACCAAAACAGAGACTTTTATTTGGCCATTTCATCATAAATTATAGCCATTAATTATGTCTTTAACTGTTAAATAAGACGTAGAGGGTTGAAATCCACAGAGTAGATCATCATTTTCTTAATTAAAAGACATTTTGTGTAATGTTTTTTAAATGTGGGGAATCGAATCCTAGACCTAACCTAATCCGAACCCATTTCCCTAGTCACTCTCGCCACTTGGGTTAACCTAGAGAGCTAAACTTTTATGTAACTTTGTTACGTAGTTAATAAGAGTAAAATAGTTCTAAGCTGAGGTCCAAAATGGTGCTGTTGAATTAAAATAACATATGTCACACTTCAATTCTTGGAAGAGAAAAGGATTAAAGTTCATCAAACCCAAGGTCAACAAAGGCCAAAGCATAAGGGGCACCAGTAACTTTAGCTTCTTACTTTTGTGAACCTTCATTCTTTGGAAAATTCTACACTTTCATCTTTAAATTCTACACAATCAAATCTTTGTGAATTATGCATATAATATAGTACTAATTCCCCTCACTTTTGCTTTTATGTGTTTGCATAGATTCCTCTAACCAAGACCAAGTGGGGAAGACAGTGGCCATTATTGTTGGGACAGTAGCAGGTCTAGCTATTCTGATTGTTATTCTCTCAGTTTGCAGGAAAACCATGGGTACGTAAATAAATATATACCCTCCTTCCACTTCAATAAATATTACATAATTAACCAATTATTGATGAAATGATATAATTAATCATGCTTACAGGTTAAGGAGATGGAGAGAGAGAGAGAGAGTACTTTCTTGAAAGATATGGAGGATACATAATCATGACAGAAGTCCACAAATTGATGTTGGCCTCAATATTCTAGTGAAAGCCCTATGTTTTCTACTTTTTGTCTATTTTAATACCAATTGGGTTTTTTTTGTTCTTTCACAAGAGAAGGTGGTGTTATCCTATAGCATAAAGTAGCACTCTAATCTCCATCAACTTCAAAAGGGCTGCTGATTCTCTTAGCTTCATGCTGTCCAACAAAAACCCATCTCTTTTTCAACTTCATTCTTTGGGTTAACCAACCTTTGTTTGGTAAACCCATCTCTTTGCTTTTTCTCTTTTTGAGGTCAAGTTCTCTATGTATGTCTCTTCATGTGTCCTTCTCTTTTCCTTTTTCTTTTTTATTTTTGACTAACCTCTATTTAGGCTTCAATTCAAAATTTAAAGAGAATTAAATGAAAATCTCAAACAATACTTGTGTCCATGAAACTGTATCATCACAAATATATATATATATATATATATA